CCCATAACAAACTGAAGGAAGTAGCTGGTTGTTAAGTTTAGAAAAGGAAAGATAAAAGCTGATGGTTGCCATGGGCAACTGCTCCGGATTCTGTCTGCTCCAGTTTAATAGATTCCCCTCCTTCTGGATTTAGCATGACAAGCCAGTGAACTAGTATTCCCTACTACAAGGTTACTTTTATAGCAGAACTGAAGTAAAAAAGAGACACGTAACGTCTTTCTCTAGCAGTTTCTTCTATTTGGTGTGTATGTCCTATGGCACATATGCAATGTAGTGAACACTTCTGGCTCATCCCCAGCATCCTTAATATGCCAGAAATGGGGTCAGGTTCCAGGACGATGTGAAGGGAAGAGAGCCATCAATGACTACCCAGTTGCAGAGCTGGAAGAAGCCGGACACAGAAGATGACGGCAGAAAATGTTAGTGGCTGCAATGGAAGGACTAGGTGGATCGCAGAGAAATGGAGATGTTGTCTGACAGGACTTGCAGTTCCCTATTCCTTTCAAAATTACAGTGCATCTATAGCCAAAGCTTTATTTTTTAGTATAAATAGTTATACCGTACTGGGATTAGTTTACCAGTTTGAAGCTTCCTTGAAGCTGATAGAAGTACCTCTCTGCAGTACTCATACTGCATGTAGTAGGTAAATCTCATTGTTGGAAGTGTTGACCATTTAATGAGTTAAGTTAGCAGTAAACTGTTTTTAACTAGTCACCGGATCACCCTACAGTACTGGGTGAGTATTTCGGCCGGTTTGTCAGCTAGCTAAGGGTCAGGATGTAGCACGGATGTCGGGAGCTGCAGTGAGACACGTCTGCTCAGTCTCACATCCCGGCCACGCCCCCCGCAAATGATTTTTAATACACTGCATGTTTTCATATTTTGTAAACTTGTCATGCTTGACTTACTAACACGGCTGTCTAAATGTATCATGCTTTGCCTGTTGGCAGGAACTCCAAAGCAAGTGTTTATAATTTAATATTAACAGTGTGCTGCGTGGCTTTACTAAGTGGCCGTGTTGTACATTATTACAGATATGTGATCCCCACCGCTCCCAAGTGTAAATATTTTGTATTACAGACTTCCGTCATCACCATGGCAAATTTATATGGCCACTTCCAAGTGAGGAAGCCAAATGGCTTGTGTCTAGCCTTGTGTAAACACGCTTCGTGAAGAACCTTGGGGGTTGCATAGTTATGACGATGAATTCTGTGTGAAATGTGTTTTTGTCAAATTTAAATTGATAATGTAAAAACTTCAAATAGTTTCTGGAAAAAGAGTGCTCCTGTGATACAATAGAGGACTAAATATAGGGCTCGCTTTGAATTAAAGACCCCATTCACACAGGGACTTTGCTGCGTTTTTGGACTCCTGCAGGAAGAACCTACAGATTCTTGCTGCAGAAATCCCAGGACTACTCGTTCAGTAAATGACAGAGTGAGAGCAACCGCGTTAGTGGAATCCACATGTGATCATAAATGGTAAGATTACATGCGGTTTGGGATAGATCACTGTTTTTGGGATCTCAGGAAAGAGACAATTATCTATCCCAAACCGCATGTATGATTACACGCGGACAGCCACTGACAGATGTGGCCGCTGTCACCCTGTCATTTACTTAAGTGGGTACAGCAACCGTATTTGAACAGAGACACCTGAGATTCCCGTTGCAGGAATTCATAGTTTCTTGCCGCAGGAGTCCAGTGTGGAAGCGGTCTAAATGAGCAAAGTTTCTGTTCTGATGAGGTTCTGCTCAGCCTTGATGTACTGCTGTGAAAGGGTCACATATATTTATTTTTTATTTATGTATTTACAGCATATAGTGCCGACTATTTACACAGCGCTTTATATAGTGCACATTCACATCAGCCCCTGTCCTTTTAGGCTGGGTTCACACCTAGGCGTATCAAATATGCGCGTTTTGTGTTGCGCGTTTTACTGCGATTCGCGGTAAAAAAAACTTGCGACAAACGTGCGTTTCCGAGGGCTACTTGGCTATATCCCAATGGAAACGCGCGACAAAAACGCCCCAAAGAAGCTCCTGTACTTATTTGGGCGTAGGACGTTTTGTAGCGCGTTCATACGGCCTGTAATATGCCCAGGTGTGAACCATACCCATAGGAAATAATGGGATTTCGGTGTTTGAGCGTTTTGCAGAGAGTTCGAACGCGCTACAAAACGCCCAGGTATGATCCGGGCCTAAAGGAGCTTACAAGATCTATCTCTATATGATCTATCGTTTCACTTGCCAGTTGATTGACAGGTTGAGGCTCACTTCAAGGGCTAGTTCACACCAACCCCCGTGCGTTCTGGCACAATTCGGTTCTAGTTTTGGATCACTTCACAGTCGGCACACTGTGTTCTAGGGCGGAAGGGGGTGTGGTGGTGCATTAAAGTCAATGGCACCGCAGCCACACTCTCCAGCTGCAGTGCGATCGACTGCACCAGAACGCGTGGCACATCAACGCCTGCATTCCGGTCTGGTGAGATCAGACAAAATAGTGCTGGCAGCATTTGACTTCAATGCACTGCTCCACCCCCTTCCTCCCCAGAAAGCAGTGAGCCGACCGGGATGCGAATCCGTGGGTTCCTGCACCGAATTGTGCCGGAACACATTGGGGCTGGTGTGGATTAGCCTTAAAGGAAACCTATTCTTAGAGCATATGGAGGCAGCAACTACCATTCTCAGGAGGCAGGCAATGGCAGCCTCAGTTTTCCTCTCTGTAAAGGTTTCATTTACAGTAAGGACAATTGGGAGAACCAAGGGCTGCATCACTAGTTCGGAAATTAGCTTTTACAGTCTTTGCATTTAAAAGAAACATGCGTCGCAGCGCATCTCGTGTCACTATGTATGAAAATACACATTTGAATAGCACAGATAACATTTTCTGGCTGTGAACTTTCCCTGATGTCTTTATAACATACACGCTGCACAAACCCACCTCCAGCACAAATAAAAATGCACACATTAAACTCTTGTAAAATCTGTTTGGAAGATGCATTAGGCGAATGTGCTGGAATCTTCATTTTAGTTGCTGCTGGAATCTTCATTGTAGTTTTATCTACGTATATTTTACCTTCAGTGCATACCCTATTTTAAACATAAACATAGAAATGTCATCATTGGGTCTCTGTGCTTCTCTATGTAATGTAGGCAGATCATAGCAGGTGGGAGGGGCCAGCAGGTTGCTGTACATAGCTTCCTGAAAACCTGACAGCACCCTGTCTCAGTACTCCACTCAAGGGGCCTGTTGCATGCAGTGGGTTGCTTCTTGGGAGAAGTAATACAAATCTCAAAATGCCTTGCTGGGTGGATGTCGGTCTAAATAGTGCGCACTCCCAGGCAGGTTGAATTTGCATGTAAACAGACAAATCTATCCGGTGATGTCGTATAATAGCTCATAAAATAGAAAAGGCCAGCACCCCATAATGAGCCTTATTTTATTTTTATTGAGCCTCAGTTGTTTATTGCACCTCATTTGATTAGTGAGCCCTAAATAAACAATGAAGGTTCATTATGGGTTGCTGGCCTTTTCTATTTTATGTCCATTTGCATGCAGACTGCCCTAGGTAAAGCCCACATGTAATGCTGAGCCTCCATTATTGATGGAATTGAATTCAAATCAATGAAAATGACGGACTGTACACAGTAAGGCTGTGGAGGAAAAAGCTTGATGATACTGGATGTCCTTCAGCCAGGAAATGAGATGGGCTCTAACTTACTTGCTGCAGCTTCTAATGCACACTGTGAGAAGTTCATAGTGTGCAATGAAATCGGAGTAGTGCATTTTGGTACAGGAGAGGAGCCGGTACAACGGTGCTAGACTGAAGGGAAGGCTGGAGACAAACTGCAAGGCGTTCTAGTATTCTGTAAAGGTAAGCTAGCAGTGCTGACCACCTTGCCTGCGTTTCTATGCAATAGCACAAAGCTCTTGTACATTTATTATTAACATGAAAGCAGTATTATTTATCTGATCACTTTCCTCCTTTCTAGACTTCATTCTGTGTCTTTTCTGCAGAAGAGAGGTCTGTCTTTGTCCGGTCAGTGGTGCAGCGGCTTAGCGGTGGCTTCTGCTCCTTGGCTCGTATCTGTTCCGCCTCATGTAGCGCATACAATGAACACCTGCTTTGCATGCACAGCGGCATAGGGAACCTCTGTGTAGCCCTTCCAGAGCTGAATAATGAACATCCTGTTTATTACAGAACGCTGCTCTTATTGTCTGGGGAATCGGCTCCAATTTATATTGTAATCAGGTTTATAGCATCACGTCATCACTGCTCATGGCTACTTATTACTGGGGTGACTTGGGCTGGCCATGCACTTGTAGATTCTTTAAAGTTCTGATAAGATTTTTCGTATGAATTTTCCTTATAACGTCATCGGAGATTTGACAGATGTTGTTTGAAATTTCATTTGGTTTTGAAAATAAATGGAGTTAGCCTGAACAAAATCCACATTCACTGTCAGAATTTTGTTCAATCAAAGATTTTCCATCCTGCTCCTTCAATGTTTAACTAGTAGAAAATCGAACACATGTCCAGAAAATTTATTTTTTCAGATACTATACTGCTGTATAGCCAGCTTTACTCAGACAGCACAAAGGTTAGTGATGTGCATAGTGTGGTAACCCATAGCAACCAAAATCACAAAGTAGCACTTCTTCTTTTTTTTTTTTTCTTCAATAATGAATCCAGATCAAATCAATATACATTGCCCAGCAAAGGATTTCTGTACATTATTTTCCAGACATAGTTATGTCTACAAACTGGCTCCAACCCTCAGCTGTGCATCCCTGAACTTCCTGTCCAGTACAAGATCACAAGGGACTGCCCGTTTTTTTTTTTTTTAAATCAAGAAGCAGCATCGATTTGTAAGTGATTTAATTCATAATTAATTTTGCTGTGTACACATTGGACTTTTCCTTGGTAAATAAGGCAGTTAATAGCTGTATACGATAGATAAGTAAATATTTCATATATATTTTCTATTGTTGTTTCAGGGTGAAGAGTGCCGTACTCTTCCTCTTTCTGGGCATGTGGGATTTGACAGCCTGCCGGACCAGCTGGTTAACAAATCAATTAATCATGGCTTTTGTTTCAATATCCTCTGTGTGGGTGAGTATTTGCAGACATGCTGACTTTGTTAGGAGAGGCAGTGATCCAAAAGCCTGTATATGAATAGCACCAGAGGAGCAAGATTTCTTGAACTGTGCTGAAAATGAGCCCATTCAATGTCCGGACATGGATGAATACAGTATTGTGTGGATGACTTGTTTACAGCCAGCCACATAGTGCTTTGTAACAAGTCAAATTGAAGATCATTACAACACAGCAATGCTTTTATTTTAGAAAGATGAGATCGTTTTAGTGAAAGTCCATACACCAAGTGTGGACAAATTATTAAGGAGTTCAGGAGTGGGTCTGTCCAATTCAGGAGCCAGCAGGATTTTTTAGCAGCCAGCCCCATTGACAATTAGAGAAAACTTAAAAAGTTGTCATTTTAAAAGAACTCCAGGAATACATTTTCTCAACCCTTGCAGTGGGGCTACTCCCCCATCCTGCCTCCCCCACCGCAAGGGTCAAGTGTTTATTTTTGAACCTAGGCAAACAACGAGCAAAGATCTACTCACCTGAGGCTCCCTCCAGCCTGTCTTTTCTTCCACTGAAGCATTGGATTGATCTAAAGAAATCTATACATGTATGGTGAGCTTAAAGGGTAAATACACTTTCCCTGGTGAATTTGGGAAAATGGAATTACCCCCACCAATCTGCCCCCTGTTCCTTCCCCCACTGCTCTTACCTGTTAACGAAACGTTCTTTCCCCTCTGTGGCTACCGGTGTACAATAACACACCCATATGCAGCAGCGTAGCCCTACGCTCAGTATTTTAAATTCTGCTTACAAATGGCGAGCACTTATTGGTCAGCGCAGTCACCTGACTTGCTAAGAAGTCTTTCTCATGTGTCACCATGGTCAGAAGCCATGCTGACCAATGGGTGCTCGCCATTTGCAATCGGAACTTAAAATACTGACTGCAGGGCTGCACTGCTGTGTACGGGTCTTACACCAGCAGCCCTGGAGGGGAAGGAGCATTCGTTGACTGGTTAAGAGCAGGTGTGGGGG